TCTTCCTGATGTCATCAAGGTCTCGGAACGTCCAATTAACATGGGCGAGATTATCCAATCCTCAAAGGAAGGTCGACTTGTCGAATTATTTGGTACTGGCACGGCTGCTGTTGTCACCCCTGTGGACAGAATTGGGTACAACGGAGGTGATGTCGTGATTCCTACTGGTAAGGACGGTATGGGGCCCGTCTCGAAGCCTCTTTGGACAGAGCTGGTGGGTATTCAGACGGGGGCTATCAAGAGCGACTGGAACTACGTGGTGGCGCAGTAGTGCGGCTATCGTTCATCTACAAACAGGAGATCTATCTGTGCTTTTTACTATAATCTAGAGTTCTCTCGTGGCGATCATAAGATGGCAGAATCAGCTAGTTGTAACGCTGAAGGTTACTATGATATCCTTATGTGCCAGCCTCTGACTTTCATTGTCTAGGTCTCTGGTTCTTTTCTGTCATCAGTAGGTATTATCAGGAACAGACCGCTAGAAGAACATTAAATTGCCGGAGTTACATATTGATTGTGCCAACACATTCGAGGGCACCGGCCAGGTTGGCAGGCCTTCATCGGATCCAAACCGCTGGCAGTGGAAGCCCTCCGAGGCACCATCTGTATCGGAACCATGCTCTCTGTTCTTCAGCCTTCATGTTCCACCAGTTTCGATGACCTGATGGACAGCACATTGCACACGAATCATCATGCTCGTGGTGCCACGTAATTGACCGACTTGATCAGACAACGCGGAGAGCGTGCTGGTTACGTTCTTGATCCGCATCTCGGATATAAATGTAATGTGTGAGGCTACTAGCGGCCAACCAGGCGGATATAGCTTGTGACGCAAGGTTGCTCCTGATCATGCACGCCGTAACAGTCGGCGGAACTAGCTCCAAGCCATCATCCTCACTCTGCAGTGCATTTGCTGTTGACGACAATGGTGGGGCAGGAAGCGGGACTATTACTGTGACCGCACATGCTGTACGGGAGGCCTTGGACATTCGCACTGTCTCCCACAAGTAATCCTCATAAATCACATTGGCCTCAGTAGCAGGAATCGGTCAAACATGCCTGCAACCCGTATCATCTGTATTGAGTGGATTTCCGTCTGCTGTCGACAGATAACCTGAACGAGTACGACAGGTGGCCTCTTAAATGGGAAGCTCCCGTAGAGATGATACACTAGTTTATATAGATCAGGGCTAGGGCTTGGCTAGAGCTCAACTTACGTTCATAGATATTCCAGCTGCGCAGCTGGGCTTTAACTGCGGGCATGATTTGGTTTTGAAGACATCATCGTCACGGGGTATATCTTGCAGGGCTGTGTGACAATATCGTCTTTTTGATGTCAATGCATATCCGTCCATTCAAGCCCAATGATTGAATCTTGAATGTCATTCAGACGCTCAAGCTGAGAAGCAATGGTTGTACTGATTTGGCGTGACTTGTTGAGTACCTTGACGAGGATCGTACGAAGTGTGGTTATCGAGTTTCAGCGCTTAGCTATCGAGCAGCAGCGATCCATTGGTGGACGCTGGCAAGCACTGCATCCATCATGATCACTTGAACTACAGAGGGGCTGACTAAGAGGGCGTTGACCTTATAGCTTAGTCATAAGTCAAGGGCAAACTAATCATCATCCTTGGCAGTTGCCTCAAGCAGAGCACCTGAGCATTTACTTGCATCGGTCTGGTAGTCCATTATACTTCTTTCATCCATAATTTTTTTTACGTCCTCGATAACCCAAGATACACAGGCTGGTCGTTTAACTCTTATTTTCTCCCTTTTTCTCCAGGTAAAAATGCTTTACGACCCGACCACTGTAACTCATCTAAAGCCCTGGTTGGTCCGAACTCTGGAGCCAATGTGCGTATTCACCAGATACTCGGTCTTCATCGTCTCTGACAACGATTGGCATATTTAGATGTGACGCCGAGCCAGGGGCACTTGCTGAATACATTCTCGCTTTGTTAAAGCACAATGTCCCGGAAAATGAGATGAGAAAGGAGCTCAGCTCCCAGCTGGAAGAGTTTTTAGAGAAAGGTGCGTATTATTTCGGTGCAATCTATGCGTCTCGTTCTCAATTCGGTACCCAGAGGGACCCTCATTTATAGATACATTATTCACTGTTCTCAGAACTAAGACGTATCTTCCGTACACGGCCAGCGACCCAACAAGCTCCTTCGCGTTGCCTTCACATTCACAGTCCGCAGATACTGGGATTCCTATACCTCTGGATGGTCTCATATCTAATCATTCGCCGACGGAAAGAGGGCAGAAGCGATCGCTGGAACATGATGAACGTGACGGGCGCCCGCCTACGAAAGGTGCTCGGTTAAATGCAGAAGGCCAATTTTCACGGTATCCCAACGGTCGTGACTCTCGCTCCACCGGTGCATGGAGTGGTGGCCAAAATAGGCCTGGTGGTCAAGGGATGATGATGAATGGTACAGTGGGCAGTGGCATGAATGGGAACAATCAAAATACGACCACCCGACGACCACAAAATTATCAGCCCCCAGACCAAAGAAAAGGAATATGTCGTGATTATCATAGTGCGCTTGCTCTTTCGTAACGATTTAAAGAAACTGCTCACATATCCTTACAGATAATGGATATTGTGCTCGTGGTTCATTATGCAAGTATAGTCACGGCGAAGATGCTTTCGTCCCATCGCAAATGTTTTCTGCTGTACCATTCTTACCAATGTTTGGTGGAATGCCTTTTGGCATGGCTCAAGGTGCCCCCTATGATCCTCATGAGGCACGGATGGATATGCGTCCGAATGGCGCCGGCATTGGCCAGAGTCGTGGAACGCAACGTGCTCCTCTACTCTCCAGGGCTCAGCAAGAGGACGGTAGTCAAGTTTCTCACGCGGTGGATAGGTCTGGCGAACTTCCGGTCATACAAGACCTAACTCCTCAGCCGCCTCCAGAACATGCAACGCCGGCCTTACCAGCAGGAGATTTCATTCCGCAGAGTTCTACACTTATGCAGCAGCAACCAGTTCAACACATGGATGTGGAGATGGGTATTCCAAGTGTACCAGGGCCATCGACGTACAACACGCGTGGTGGGTTTGGAGGGGGAGTGAGGGGTGCACCTCGTGGGCGAGGCATATTTGGTGGTGACGCGCAGACCTTCCGTCCAGAACGACGACAAGATAAAACACTTGTGGTGGAAAAGATTCCAGAGGACAAGCTTAGCCTCGACGCTGTCAATAGTTGGTTCAAGCGCTTCGGGACAGTCACCAACGTTGCGATCGATGTTCGCAGCGCCAAGGCGCTCGTGAGTTTCGCTGAACACACTGAGGCTCATGCTGCATGGAAATCGGAAGATGCCGTGTTCGGAAATCGGTTTGTGAAGGTCTTTTGGCATCGGCCCATGGAAGGACATGGGCAAACAGGATCGCGAATGTTAGCGGCCTCCGCGCCACTACTAGCCAACCTGGCTTCGCGTGAGACCCCCCATGCCTTCTGCACCATCCCAGCCTCCTGCGCCGCCCACCATGACTCCCGCCCGTAAACCGTCCCTTCAGTCTCCTGCCGTGTCAGAGCTCGCAGCGAAGCAGAAGCTGCTGGAGCAACAGATAGCGGAGCAGAAGTCTTTAGTGAACTCATTAGAGACCTCTTCTCCCGAGGAGAAGAAAGTGATTCTAGCAAGATTACGGAAATTGGGAGAAGAGATGACGATACCGTCACCACCGTCGGCTACTCCCGCCAAGGTCCATTCGCCTGCACCTGTCTTGACTACTCAGAACGATCACGAGAAAAAGGAGAGAGAAAGGTTGGATAAGGAGCTTGAGTTGCATGCCGTTGGGGAGTCTACGGAGGAACTTAAGGCTAAACTCGCAAAATTGAGGGAGGAGGCAGCAAGTCTTGGAATACCGGAGACCAGTCCTGAAGTCTCGTATGGTGCACCGTATCGTGGATACAGAGGTCGCGGTCGCGGGGCACGTGGCGCCTTCTACCGCGGAGCACCGCGAGGTGGTCCTCCTAGGGCGAGCATGAAACTCGACAACCGCCCAAGGAAGCTGTTGGTGAAGGGTGTTCGCGAAGACAGCCTGCAAGCATTGCGGGATTGGTATGAAGTATGTTGAGATTTCTTCGTTTCTGGATGCGTGGCTCATTGACAATTATAGACCACCGGTCAGCTCGACTCAACAGAGAGCATTGGCGATGATGAAGTTCTTGTCAGTTTCAAGACAAGAGCAGCTGCTGAGCAGGTTGGTCAAGAAATGCCCTATCGTATGTTGTTTGTGCTCACTATTTGGCCAGGGTTTTGCCAAAGGATCAACTGTTGCTGCAGTAGGCCCAGTGAAGATTTCATGGTACAGTGCCCAGCAATCACAAGCAAAACCACAAGACGTCACCGCACCATCATCGCAACCTGCCATCACAAAAGAGGTTCACCCAGACGATACGCGGAGTACTTCACCGTCTCCAGGACGCCGTCCCTCCCCCCGTCCACAAGAAGAAGAAGTCATCGCCAGTGGATGGGGCGATGGTGATGAAGATGGTATGGGCATGTTTTGATCGTACAGATTTTGCGATCCTTGGAATTGTCTTTGTATTGTACTCGGTGCCGGTATATTTTAATCCTGCTAGCGGCCCGAAAAATCTTCCGGGAGTTTCAACATCTAAATCCTGATCGTCGCTCGATTTTGCCTGTCAATCAGTCAATCATGAATTCGTGGTCTACGTCTATCGTGTAGCGTACAAGTGCGTATGAGGTCAAAAGTTCGTTAGAAGTCAAAGATTATTATGGTTCGTAACATTTTAAACTTAACGTGAGCATAAATGTCCCCTCGTGGCATCCGTACCGTGTGCGCTGTGTAGGTTCGTATAGATTCGTGTATCATATCTTCGTCAACTCTCTTCACCTGTGATGGAGGAGATAATTGTTAGGGAGTCGAGGTATGATCTGTTGAATCGAAGGCATCGGCAGTCCTGCGTCGGCGAAATGTGGGAGCGGCCAAGTTCGCAGCATCTCCCATGTATATCTCGACTTCATCACTCTGGAACGGCATGACCGCGCCAAGACCTGCAGCTCTACGAACAGGTGGTGATCTGCTTTGACTCATGGGAGGCTCGTTGATTCTTGGGGGAGATAAAGAAAGATGGGGTACTTCGCCCTGAAGGAGCACGTCATCCCCTCGCAATGCCGTTGGAGAATCGCACAGCGCGAGCTTCGTCCACGTTTGAGTGATGTGGTCAACATCCTTCCTAATGTCAAATGATGTGCGTGGTTGAGACCGGGATGTGTGTGTGGTTTGGGGTGGGTTACAACGCTCTAGAGATCGCAGGTAGTCGGGAACTTCAGAGAAAGGTTCTGAGTTGGTATTCGTGCGTGCGACTTTACGCTTTCGATGGTCCTTATGATAAGGCACAATTACCTCCCTGATTTCGTTGACAGCCCCGCCAATGATAGCTTTAAATTTTCTGAACCTGGCTTTCACCTGTGACTTGCGGGCCATTTCCAACTGCTTCTCCATAGGCGGGAGCCAAACCTCATTGATAGGGGAGAGCGACTGAGTTGACTGGGGAGATGTGCCACATGCTGAACGAGAATCAATGGAGAGAAGAGCAATAGGTTGGCTATCTTGTCGGACACAACGACGCTTGTAATTGGCATCGTCTCCTGAGGATGATCCTCGCGCACGAACACGACTCCTGCTGGTAGGGGATAGACGATGAATAGCATCTGGACTCGTGGAAGGCGATCCATTCCCCTGCCTTGAAGCCGGAGTCCCATGTTTTGGGGAGAATGTTCCGGGAGGTGCAGCTGGTGAGAATCCTGAGCGACCCGGAGGGCGTGCAAGGGAGCTGGGGATCATGCTAGGAGGCGGTTGTGATATGCATGGGCGAGAAGGGGATGTTATTGGGGAGAGGACTTGATTTTTCTTGTCGCGCCCATGTTGCAGAGATAATGATTGCGACGACGCCGAATTAGCTTCTCCGCGAGGGGAACCTCTATCATGCGATGGAGAGATACGTTGCAATGAAAAGGATGTGGGAGGCAAAGCGCTGGACGCGAGCGTACGTTCTCGTTGGAAATGTGGATTTCGAGAACATGTCATGGTCGGCGAGACAGTCGGGCGAGTAGTAAATGAAGGGTCACAGTGACTGTACACCTGTTGTGGGAGGTTCTGTGTGGGATAATGATGCTGGATCTCGTCAATCAGCATCCGGTCTGATGACCCCCGGCTCCGACGGGTAGAAGGAACGTCAATCGACATGCGGGATGAAGCCTTACGCTGAGCGCCTTGATTAACATTCGGAGAAGATGGATCAATCGACATCTGTGACGAAGCCTTGCGATAGTCGCCTGTCAATGGGGAAGGATCAACAGACATTCTGGAGCTCCTTTTCCTGAACCGCCTAGATTCCAGCGACCCATCTTCAACGGACATGGACTTTGTATCGGACCCAGCGGGAGATCCGGAGATGGACACAGTCGCTAAGATGCCATATGCATGGTTGTTCCACTCTTGGATGACTGCGCCCGGTGAAAACAGCCGTCGGTTGGCGAATAGCAGGTACACGATCGACGAAGGATGAGTCCGGCACGTGCTACACCAAAGATTCAATGAGATCGATTTTTTCCCTAAAATCAAAGTCCTACTACCTGCTTGGTTTGGGGGTGACGATCAGCGTGACCTGTTGTTAACCCCGAGGTCTGTTTCCCGTCACTATTATTTTCCCAAGGCCCGAGACGAGTCCCTTCTCTTTGTTTGGAATGAGGACTCCTTTGACTCGGCCCCACATGATGCGGAGGATCATCGATACGAGCCCCTATCTGGGAGAGGAGAGAAGGTTTTTGCAGGGGCTGTGAGATTGGCATTGACAGAATTAGCTGGAGGGATACAATGCTATCAGAGTCTGCTCCAAACTTCAAGTCTTATACCTTGCGCAATCCTTGTGCTCCTCGGAATCCGAGTCGACGCGGTCACCACACTGGCACGTGCTCGTGAAAATACAAAAAACACGTCTCTTTGATACAGTGTGGGTCCAGAGAGGCGCTCACGGACAACCTTGAAAGGTACTAGGAACTTGAACAACTCGCACCTTTTAAGTCGAAGCGTGACCGTGAAGGGTCCCGGGAGCGAGTACAATAATTGTCATCACTTGTTATCATACAATTGCAGACAGAGGACAAAAGTCGGTTTCCATGGGTATTGGAGTCGTTGAAACAATCAATGTTCTCAGCACCATGTCGTCAATTTGGAATATCAGATGAGGATTCGTTGAGCTTATCCAGGTGGACCTACCGAGATAGACCAAGTCTACGTGACCTCAGAGATAATTACACAGCTTCAATCTCCGCAACTTCTCCCTCGACGGCCCAGGGTTGTCTTTGCATTAAGCATTTCTTGATTTTTAATACGTCTCATTAAACATTTTCAAGCAAGATGTTCAATCGCGAGGTGTTCACATGGCGAATTTAAACTTGTCGCTACTCGAGGGTCGAGACTACAATGTGCAGCACAGGTCCGAAAGATTCGGGTTGATGAGTCGGGGAGCGTGCTGGCTTTGAGATACCAAGTCATGTAAGCCATGTCATTTTGCCTCAATGCATAACTGGCCGGCGGAGATTTCATGTGTTGGAAGTTCGAGCAGCCTGATCTTATCCGTGAGGTAAGAATCTGTCCTCCAGCTTTATCTCACCCGGGACACTAATGTCTTCAAGTCACGTCTTCAAGAGTACATCACACCGTGACGACTAGCCTCTAGGCGAGTCTTTAGTTGCCAGTATGGGAACAGGGTGCTTGTACCTACAAGTTCTCTCAACAACTAACTCCCGTGTTTCCGAAGTGAGACAGTGCTCTTGAGTGCTTGGACAGAGTCCGAGTCCACGTACAAGGCCAAGACACTTCGTGGCGTGCTTTGTGTAACAGTTGACGGGATCGGCTTTGTGCAATCATTGAGCTTTGCCACCATGCTCACATGCCAGCCACGGTGGTGGTCCTGTGTCCTGTTCAATGTCATTTTACCTCATCCATCTCCGAGGAACATAAAGTGCACCGGGAGTACAATGAACCCTCGTCCCCCCATTTCCGTGATTTAACTGGCCTAAACATCCTGGGTTCAGATTAATGGCGCTTGGGACTGTGGGCAAATAGCTGTCTAAGAGCTCTTTGACCTGTGGACTGTGAGGTTATAAGCAACTTGGATGTTGGTAACTCACTCCCAGCTCGACGATCCATCCAGATCTACCAATATGTCCCACCTACAGCAGAATAGCGGTCACAGACGTTTTCCCTATGCCATGTATAACCACACGTTGGGCATACACCAAGTTGTGCATCCCCACCAATTAAGCAGACAGACGTTGTTTGATATGCCCATCTCTTCAGCTTCGGTGAGTTGTATCTGCATAGTTAATTTTGTCGTTATGATTGACGAAGATCAGAATCCTTCCACCCAGTCTTCTGGTAGTACCTCTAACAGTGTGGAGATGTTTGTCCCGATGAACATTCCGCAGTATAACAGAGACGGCTCTTCGATTGTTATGTTCCAGGCGAATGCAGAAAGGAATAGTCTGAGCATTTCTTTGGAGGAGTGTCTTCAGCCTGGCGGTGGACTACATTTGAAAGACGCCCAAGAAATTATGTTCCCGACAGTCGACCGTACTCAGGTCCAGACTTTCAAGCTCGTTATAGCTGTGAGTGCTTGCACCCTCGACCGATTGCGAAGTCTAAGTTCAGTGCTAGTGGCCCGGATACGACACAGTGGAGTACCCTATCAATATCGGGACCAATGAAGCGCCCATCACAAGGGCTGATCTCGCGCGTCAAATTGCATATCACTTTTTCGGGTTTTTCAGCGTATGTGCACATATTCTTCCCTTGTAATTTTTCGTTCATACACTGTTCAGCAATGCGATAACGGTCGTTTCACTCAGAGGTCACTTTTCGAGTGGAAAGTGGGAGGCCAAGACGGGTATTCGTTCCATCAGATCTACCTTTCGACATTCTGGAATATCGAAGGCACCTCTTGGAGTGCCTCCATCAGAGTCCTGAAAAATGCCTGACGCCTGCTGCACGTGTCAACTTGTCATCCCCGCAAATTCTGTATACCCTCATTGCATATGAATACCACGACACACGCCTTAGTGTATATGTTGTACTCCGAGCACTAATATACGAGAAATAAACTGTAACACTCTTACACGTCACTGTTGGGTCACCTCTCTGAAGTCCATGGTCGTCATTAATGTGACTTTTGTACATGAGAGTTGAGGTATGATATGATATAGGTATGGCGAGTAGGAATAGAATATGCACACTTCAGGCCTTGGTCACGGGTAACGAGACTCCAGGTGCGTGGATGGCCTCACGAGAGCAGTCAAAAAAACATCGTAGAATGTCTTTGATCTATATGTCATAACACTTTACACGAGCGTGGCATTATAGTTATTGCGGCATCCGATGAACGTGATTGGATTTAGACTTGATACCAATACTTATCTTGCCAAGGAACCAGAAAAACCTGCTGTTCCTCCCCATCGTCTAATGTTGCGGCCAGGCAGTGCCAGTCGGGCATTCTGTACTGACTCGTGCGTAAACAGCTTCTTCACGGTACAAGAAGCATACGATGTCTACGAGTTTCCTGTCGGTCACATACTGCCCTAAGCCTCCACCGCAGCTCGGTCTATCGGATTGAGATCAGGCACACAAATAAATTTGTCAAAAACACTCACCTGAGAATACCTGGATGAAAAAAAACGATGCCCACCACAGCATGTAAAGCAGCGTCCCAGGTCTCTTGTATTGTTTCACCACGGATATCTAGCCAACGTCGAGGTAAGGCAAGAGCTTTTGGTTCCCTAATGATCTCCACTGTCCAAGAACGAGCATGAAGGCAGGAAACGATGACTGGCGCAGAGTATCCAACCCACAAAATGAGGGGTGGGGATGTTTGGGACATTCGTTGTAACAGGTCCATAACCACATCACCAGCACCAAAAGCCTCGAAGTACAAGAAGATCAGCGAGTTGGCGAATGATGCCCAAATAGAAAACATACTAGGTAGTGCGACTTTGATGAACCTGATTCTGATGACGCATTAGCTCGATCAAAAATATCTTGAGCCAGTTTTCGTTGTTCGCAATCCAGACCAGCGATAAACTCGGAAAACGTCGACTCGGTGCATAGTACGCAATTTACGATTTTTGATTGCGTCTTCTTAGCGCAAGCGGCGTCAGTTCCAGTCACCGTTTTTCCATGTTCACGTTGCATGCTCTCATCCAGTGGTGTGTTCGTAGGGTCCAAGCGCGACTCGTATGAAGGCAACATCGCACCTCCATTGCCCTCATTATCGTCTCCGTTGTCGACTGCATTTAAGCGGACTTGTATGCTAGTCTCGATATCATCGTCATCTATTCTCTGTGAGAAGGAAGGAACTGCAACTGAGGCACCGCACGGACCTGCTTTTTTGCTGTTCCAGTCAAGCCTTGTTCGAGCGTTTCGCAACTGTGCCGTATCTATGATGAAATTGACCTTTGTGTCCTTGTCGGTGCAACACTTCTACCATGCAGTCTAGTTATCGACGTACCTGCTCCTCTGACACCAGCTGGAGTAGTGCTGCGGTGTCACCATCAGAAGCTAACAAAGGCCATTCCAGGATGCCAACTTGCTCTGCAAATACCTCATCCAGAGCGACAGCGTCTTGGAATAAGTCTCCATGAATCAAGCCTCCGATGGCGTTTAGGTTGCTACAATTGTGTCAATTAGTAGAATTGCCAATGAATGACTTTGCTCACACGTCTGATATTTTCAATGTACGTCCCGGCTTCATCTTTTTGGGATCACGAACCACCCTTGACAGGACTCCGCGCCGCAAAAGATTGGAGGTTGCGAGGGATACAGACTGATCACCTGCACTGTGGAGCAATTCCGCTGCCAAATCAGCGTCGTAATGCTCGGTTGACATGCCAAAAACCATCTGTAGAACGGCGCAAAGGTAGTAAGAAGCGAAGTGGAAAGGTCAAACGAACAACCGCCACCTTTAGCGCAGCTTCCGCGACTTGAACTACATCATCACTTATGTTTGTGACATATGGAACTTCGTCTGCTCCATGAGTGAAAGACTGTCGGAGAAACTGTTTCTCTCGACCTTCTTCGACGGTAGCTTGCCACACAAATTCCCAAGCAGGAGAAATAGTTGTGTTGCAAAGCACATCGAAACGATGTATGATGTCATCCACTGATGCTGGTAGCTTCGTCCGAGTTGTATGCTCAACGTAACCAACTCTCCTAATTGTGGTCAGCATCTGCATGGATTAAACAGTTGAAAGTAAACTTGCAAGGCGTTCTTATCAACATGCTTTCGAAGAAACTCTATATGATTTACGATGTCAAAGTTCGATGGGCTTTGAGGATCTTCGTCGGGAAGGTGCTCGGTACCCCTATGTTGAACCCAAAGCTCATGCCATCGGTCCTCGAGGCGCCTCATATACACTTCTTCACCAGTATTCTCTCGGAGGTGCGAGAGGCGGAGGCGGACAGAATTACGTGGCACAGCAGGAAATACCTGGTCGAAAGCTGAAAGATCGATCTTGACCCCACCGCGACATCGGGCACGAATTATAGCAGATGCATCACGGGCAAGCTCATCGTATTCTCGAGTCCAGTGGAATCTAGAGCGCCTCTGGCGTGATGTCTTATTCTCTGATTGGTCTACAAAGGGCGGTTACGTCTGAATGCGCAGCAAGGCGAATGAACAAAACTAGCCTTCATTGGTCTTGGTCTTTCCTCTCGATTTTCCGATTTGTTGCGCGAGAATAGGTGGTCCTTGTTGAGCTATGAGAAAATGCACCGATTTCTTCAGGAGGATTGGCTGCAACAGGAGGTAAAGCTATGCGCGGAACCGCAAGCGCTTTCGGCCTTGCGATGACCTTGTTGGGAAGCCAGTCGAGCCTCTCGGACGGCGTTTTCAATTTCACTTTGCCATCGATCCGTATCTCTGATTGAGCTGGATTGTACAAAGCGATTGCGAACAGCTAGAATTCGGATGCCAATGGTGCCCTTAAGAGGCCCGGGATGCACGCGCTGAAGCAAAGCTTCCCAGTCGCTTTCCCTCTGAAGCTTCGCTTCTTTGGCCTTCTTTTGAAGCATGGTTTTTGGCTTCGATGTTTGCATCGTACAATGCTTCCGCTTCGTCTCGTTTCTGCCTCGCCCGTGCCTTCTTTATCTCACGCAAAACCCTTTCAGCAGCGTCTTTGAGGTAGGCGACAACAGGCGCGCGTGGAGCGCTAAGAACATGACAAATCTGCTGCAGCTGTAAGTCACTATCCTCTTCGTCAAGTGGACTGTGGGCCGTGGCGCTGTCTACAGATTGATCTAGATAACGCTTCTGGTGCCAGGTTAAGCGGTATTCCAAGTCCCAAGATACTCTCCGGCGAAGGAACCGCAGAAGAGGTGTGTTTGCTGGAGGTCCCAAAGTGCCGTGCGTTGGACAAACGGTGCTTCGTGCGTATGCAACATCTCGACTGACTTTATGCAGCTCGTCCCCAAAGGCTACACCATCGCAGCGGGATTTCACAGAGACATGCCTCCAGTAAGGCGGGGAAGAATTCGAAAGAGCCCATAGATGTAACGGTGCTGTTTTCATTGAAGCGCCAATATTGGGGCGCGGCGGATGGTGCGGATACCCGCCACCCGTCAAAAGAGGCTGCTTTGAGTGCAACTGTCCGGCCATCAGAGAGTGCACATGTGAGATCTGGCGTTGTCATCCGTGGATGGTTCGTAAGGAGTCACAAGGCCAAGAAAGCCGAAGGGCATCTAAGAGTTCCAAAACGCGAGTTTTGGAACGCGACTTTCCCACCTGCAGCTTTGCTGAAATACGGTTCGGCAGGTCTCTGACCAGTGTTTTCTCTGCTCTCCACAGAGGCTATGAGCTTTGATAGTTCTTCGTCGTAAGTGAGAACGGCAATGAATGAGCAATAAATGGCAATGGGAACGTCGAGCTGGTACAAGGAAATGTCGATCATGGAATGCTCGTGGGACGCAATACGGGGCGAAGAGTTTTGTTCGAGCAACCCAAGGGGTAAAGACATGAAAGTCCCGCAACCTAGCCGCTTTCCCAACTCTGAAACCATACAACTGCGCTAACCGTGGTTCTCTCCGTAAGCAACACGTCGCAGATCGTTTCAGAGTCGTATGCGAAGAGTTCCTCCGCCTTAGCAGCGTCAAGAACCTGATGTTCATCATCATCTTTCCCGGATTTCTCTATTTGCAGTAGATGAAGCGGTAGAGTGGTGCATTGTGAAACACTGCTCGAAGCTCCAAAGTCCACAGGCTCCTGAAATGTCTTGACAGGCAGAATGTTAGGCGCCGGGGCGGTGTGGCTCAGATGATGTAAAAACGCGTGATTTTCTCTTGAAGTGTGTCTGGGAGATAAACGAGGCAGGCAGGCCGAGTGCTTCCGGTGACAGAGAATACAGTGGTTTTGAGGACTTTGATGCGGCCACGGCTTTCCATGTTCTTTATGGTGGCGTCTGCGGTTCTCTTGTCGATACGAGTTCCTGAGGGCGCACTTGCAGGTTCTCCACGCTGAGCCATATCATTCAGCAGAGCCATATGCGCATCAAAAAAATGTTTTGTGTGCAGATTTGCAATGCCGCCCAAGTCTTGGATTACCCGGAAAAATTCGTTCTCTCGCGGCGTAAATGAGATATGTTCAGATTTGTTTTGAGTTATCACAGGCGTAGATGTTCGCGTGCGCTTGGGTTGGGAAGGTGTTACTAGTGGTGGGGATCCCTTCCGTTTCTCTCCTATCACAGTAGGCATTACATCCGCCTCCATCAACTGTCACATTAATCGAGTGATGCGAAATCAAACATGAGGTTCACTTACAGGGGACGTCCCCAACAGCACAGGATCGATAATCATAGATTCTTGTGCGGAGGGGTGGTTATCCATGAACGAATAATCCATCGGCTCTTGCACCATCACACTACTTGCTGTGGGATGCGAACGACTTCTGATTCATCGATTCGATTATTAGAACCTTCACCCGGCAGTCCTTCTACAGCAGTACCACGTTTCCGGCTAGAGAAAGCATTGTTCTCGCGAATCGTGGGTTCCGGTTTTCTATCAAAACTCCAGGATTTGGTTCTTCTGGGTGCACGTCTACAAGCCCATTGTGGGATCTCATAAGGTCGCCGATGTCGGTCGTAAGCGCGACGCCATCAGACGGCCGCGGTACTACGGCTTGCACATTGGTACCTGCCACAGCTTGACGAATACGGTGTTGCTCGTCGCTGGGATCCTCATGTGGCGCCGATGAGGACAAGTCGGATGATCCCTGAAACAAATGACTTCCTTCCTTCGGGCTTGAAGTCGGGGGGCTCAGGGGCAACATGAGATGTGGTTGAAGTCATTCCTTGTCGATAACTAACTACACCGGTCATACCTGGGCTTTCTGGAGGGTGTCCACTGGTCTCTGATGGAGGCGCTGACGGGACTTGTGCGGGAAGAACAATGACATTGACATCCTTCATCGATTCACGCCTTGGAACTTCGGCATGGCAAACAGTTTGTTCAGCATCGGGCTTCTGTTTGGGTGGACGGCCGCGCGATTGGGAACCTTGCGTACCGTCGAGGTCCCATCACCCTCCTCAGCAATCGGGTTTTTGCGAGGTCGACCACGCTTTTTCGGAGGGATAGAGATGTCACCATCCTCCTCACCACGTGGCTTTTTCGGTGGGCGGCCCCTTTTGGCTTTTGGGACAGGTTCTGGCGTATCTTCAAACCGCTTCGTCATCTCCTGGATCTTCGGTTTCTGGCCTTTTACGTTTCTTAGCTCCTGTCTTCACTTTGGCGTCCTCCTTGTCTTTGAACATGTCTTCGTAGTAGTGGAGAGTTTCATCGTCATCATAAAACATTGCCTCGTGGAACACAGCAAAATCACCGGCTTTTGAGACATCAATATCAACATATGACGTTGTGGTATCTCCGAGCTTTTCGCTGGCCATGACTGTTGTATATGCCGCGAGAGTATAATATCGATGTCGTCTTTCCCGTCCAAACGACTCCATGAAGTCCGCTGTCCCGAGATCGCTGAGATGAGCGGGAGGTCGACTCTTGGCTGCTCGCGTTAACAGAAGCTCAATAGTACGTTTATCGAAATTGCCAAGAGCGCTGCAGATTTCCTGTGAACAGAGTCAAATTACTGCCCTAGCGCGCTGCATGGAGAATTACGTGGAGAGTTCTGCCGGAAGACCCTGCTTCTTCAAGCACATCTGACACTTGTTTTTGAATTGTGCGGTTTGCCCTAACTTCAGTGTGACCAGCTGAGAGAATAATTAGAACAGTCTACAGATGAATGATATGTCACACCAGAAGTATCATCAAACATGATTTCCTTGTCATCCTCCTCACCTTCCTGAGGGGCAAGAATGACACCGCCCTCTGGGAGTTGATTGTCTGGAGCAACAAGTCGTATGCACTTGACAAGTCTGTCTTTGACTTTGGAGCTCGGAACCAAGACACGTTCTATCACTCCTTGCGCAATCAACTCTCGCAGACGGGTTTGAAAGAAGCGACGGTCTGTCTTGGTTGGATTCGCAAAGCCCTGCAGGGATTCAACAAAAACTCCGCACTATAATTGAACAGGACCTACGATGGTGATAATTAAATTATTTGATGCGTGCATATTGTTTTGCGACGCCTTCAACAACTTGACAATTCGGTTTTTGATTAGTGAAAGACTAGACAAATGTCTGGAATCCACAGGCTCAAAGTCGAGTTCCGATGGTGCAGCAGAGGGAGTCCCATCTTCAACAGGGGTTGCATCTTGCGGATGACTCTCTCCAATAACAATAGACTCGTCGTCTTGGTTTCCTCTTGCTGAATCTGTTGCCAGAACGCGCTGCGCTCCACAAAATACTTGTGAATGCAGGAGTGATTACCAACACCTCCCTCGCCGTGCTTTGATGCTACCCTTACATTATTACGAGTTTCGTAGAGAGAAAGATCGAGACATACATTAAGTCAAGCTCCAGCAGTTGTTTGATGACATAAAAGCACGTTTTCTGATCGTACTTTGTCTTGCGTCCAAGCTCGACAGTTGTAATACCTTCTTCGCGCCCTCTTGTGATGAGTTGCAAAGCACTGTAAACCATCGGACTGAGTTTCGAAGACTGCGAAAATGAGCTCAGATTAAATTAAATGACGATTGCTACATACTCTGATATGAGATCCTGTGATTGCAGCAAAAGATGTCTCTGGATCAACAGCAATCCTGAGATCTTCGCCATATTCTGCCTTTAGGTCCTCCAATGACCTATCACGTGCATTTTCAACGAGAGTGAGTGACGGTGGGGCTTCTTCGACAAGTACCCTCGCCCTTAGCTGCCGCCTTACGCTTTGCGCTCGTCTGAGGAGCGATATACACTTCGGATGATACGCCCACAGGAACTGTACCAACGCGGACAGTGGGCTGCTGGACAACTATAGACCAGACAAACGCGCAAAATGCATCGTCGACGACCTGCGGGTGGGTAGCGTCGTGACTGTAGAATCCTACGATGAAATCTCGCAAGCGGGAAACGTTACAACCTGCAGGAAATAACAAAATCAGATGCTGTTCGAAAAAATGGATATTTGGAAAGAGTTGTCATGATGGGGATTCGAACGATCCTCTTCGCGATCAGCACTCCAAAAAATGCCGAGGATAGGATGAGATTACATAGTGCTCACGTACCAAGATCGCCGTCGAACGAAAGCTCTCTGAGACAATGATGCACGAGCTCATCCATGATCAGGAGAATTATGAGCAGTGGAAATAGTAAGGCTCCTCCAAGTGGAGTCTGGACGCCACTTGACCAGACGGTGTGTGGGTTGTGTGGAATCGCAAAATTTACTCGATATCGGCTATCGCTATAGGGAGAAACTGGACAGTGGGCCAGCGTCGTAAACGACGATGAGGAAATTTCGGGAGCCTCGCGTTAGTGCGGTATGACAAAGCAACTGTGACGTGGCGGGCCCCGCCCCGTCGGACACAACCCGATCATCAACCGTCGCCCAATCCGCCTGAAAACATTCAGTTAGTTGGCCGTTATTTGCGCAAAGAACGAGATATCTGCCAATTGGTTCTACTCCAGCTGATTTACTCAAAGTATTGATCACATGTCACTCAGTGATCATGAAAGGTGCATTGCACAAGCGGTTCTATCATAGAATGACTCTGAATGATATCAGCAACCATCTCCAGCGCTAGCCGGTTATCGAAAAGTTCTAGGATTCAAAATGTACGTTACTAATACTAATAGCCACTGCATTGTCTATATATTACACGGATCCCCGATGTAGTGTATTAAAGTTAAGGAAAGAGAGATATTACAATTCGCTAGTTCTCCACCTATATGTAACTCTGAGTCAGTGCACGAGACACCAAAGCCTTGAGGATCATGCAAGACCATACCTAGTCTCGACTGCAGAACCCATATGGGATATTCCAGATGATATCCTTCAATCAGATGATGTCCTCATCATCATCTATGACAAAGCTGCCGATGGCATACTCGTCTGGCAAATCGTCCTCACGTACGGGAGAACTTGACACACCAGCGCGGCGTTTTGCGCTCTCACCCCGGCCATATAGTTCCCTCCTCACCGGTCTGGTGGCAAAAACGGGACCTCCAAACGGGGCTTGTGTGAGCAAACCCCGGCGATAAGCAAGTGACTGATCGTAAGAAGGAGAGACCTGAGTGTTTGCGATGTCCTTGATGAATTGGCGATCGGAATCACTTTCAACATCATCTTCAGAGTGCGACGATCCCTCACTTGCTTCGTCACCAGAGTGGGCCGCTTCTCCATCCAGCCACGGATTATGTCGCATAGATACAAACGGCTTTTGCTTGCTACGCTTAGGGGCGGACTTGATCCCCAAGAAATGACATCTGTATCCTTTCGTTTCAAACGCCGTTGGGAAAGAGGTGGCATGTCCAATGCCGGTGAGTTAAGCTCTGCGGCTGCTGTACGCGGCTTGAAAAAACGCCCAGCGGGTCGCACAGCGAATGAGGCATCGGGAATGTCGTGATCAGAAGAGTGTGCGGGTGACTGAATGATACCTCGGCATGGTAGAGAAGGTGGTGGCATTAGATGTGCCCCAGGCGAGGAGACCCCTTCGTCCATAACGCTTTCATCGTCAAATAGGCGATCTGCGCGACTCGCGGCGCGAGGACTGCGCTCCCTGCGGTGGTGTCATGGGCGGGGGACGACAGAATTTGGATGTCAGGGCTCATCATCTGATCCTAGTAGCCACGCCATGCTTTGTGTATTACCCGTCACCCCCGTCTGAAGATGAGAGCAGTGATGGCGAGCGATCTGGGGATCGTTCTCGACTCCTTCCATTCCGTTTGTGGCACTTATCGGTCGGAGAGTTTCTGGGACCACACGACATTGATGAAGATTCTGCGGCTTGATCAGGGTTAGTTTGGGGTGGCGGCGGGGAGGATGATATCTCTATCACGTCATCCGCATCGCAAATCAGCGACGACGAAGATAACATGCTTGGCGCTGAAGGATTCTCCGCCTCTGAGGAGCTTAAAAGTAGCGCATCGTCTTCGGTAGGACGACAGGAAAGACTTTGGACCGCAGGTGGTTTTATGCAACCATTCGAACGGTCTCGAGCCAAACCGGAGCCACATCAGGTGAAGACGAGCGATATCTGGGCAAAGCTGGCCGCTTTTTTAGGGGGAAGGGGTTTTACGAGCGATGGCCCCGCGAGCAGCTAGTGAAACGCCCTGCTCGATTTCGACATCATCGTCGTCGTCATCACCTTTTCGCGAGAATTGGCTGGTGCTCAATGGTTCTTTTTCCTTCTCCTTCCCCTTCTTGCGTGACGTTGCCGACTGTCGTTTCTTGGATGGATCCATCGTACGTGCCTTGCGCAACTTGTCCTTCTGCGTACTGACACCAGCAGGCGTCGAGGCAGTACGGCGCATATCCATGAGATTAGCCTCTAATTCCATATCTGTTGAGTCATCTTCTGCAGCTGTGGGATCAAATCCTTTCGTCTTTGCCCTCTTCCTGTTCTTCGTGTCTGCGCCCTTGATAAGCAGGTCTTTGACACTGACAAAGCCCGTGCTTGCGCCTTGAGGTATATTCCTAGCAAAATCATCATTCCGCTTGCGTTTCTTGCCCTTCGGAGACGAATTCTCGTCGTTGACAACTGCACTCTTCTTTCGCGAAGCACGTTCTTGGCGTACGTACTCCTCGATCTCCATTCTCTTCTCGAGTACTTGGGGCTTCGCATGCTCAGGGAGGAGTCGTGGGATGTCGCCATAAAGTTCAAGCTGATCACCGCGGACGATACATCTCTGCAACTCGCCGTATGTGTCCTTTGCTTTGTCCCAATTTAACTCCTCGCGGATCTCGGAGAGCAGGACGTGGACATAGCCATCCCGCTTACGGCCCGTGCGTCCGACGCGTTGAAGCTGCACATTACGACAGAAGAGTAGTTATACACATGTAAAAGGAATGACTTAAATGTTACACACCATGCGAATTGGCGTCTTTTGTGCGTCATAACATACAATCATGTCAACTTCCCCGATGTCGAGACCCTCTTCGCCAATAGAAGTAGAGACAAGCACGTTGAATTCACCAGCTTTAAACTTCTTGATCACCTATTTCGACGATTTTATAAGCATACACCCAGGGACGGAGCTCTAGACCCACCTCAAGCTGCTCCTTCTGCGCAAACCCCTTGCGGCCTTGTTTATCCGTGCCCTGCCCAATAAACCTCGTCACCTTCAGGAGGGGACTCTCCTCATTAAGGATATGTACGATTTCATCCACACACTCCCGGTATGTCACAAATACCATAGCTCTTGTCTCCTCCCCCTCGCCCATCCGTGCCCCAAAGTGCTGCAACAGCAGCATCTTTAGCGTCTCCATCTTCGGGTGCATGCCGTACCCGCCCGGACGGACTTTCTGCACCTCGAGCTCACTAAGAAGAGCCATAAAATTCTTGTCCTTGCGCAAGCCACTCGTTGTGGAACCCTTTTTCTTCCCTGAATCGTCCTCCTTTTCAGTAGAAATTTCCAGCAGGCAGTTGTGACACATGCCAACGCTGGCTTCCATCTAGCCGCGCACGCGACTTGTTAGGTAAGACAGATATACGCCGTAAGGAGTACTGACCAGGTAACCCATAGCACGCCGCTAATGCACCGAGCTTGGACAGCGAGGAAAAATGCCCATTTATGGGGACTGTTCCGTTGGGCCCCAATGCGTTGCATGGTAGCCTGCGCACGATAAGGGTGCATCTTTACTGGATCCACCACTTCTATAACTCCTTTGCTAGAGAGTGGTTTAAGGATGGTCTACCCATACGTCATCGTCAAATAAGAGTGACCAAAAGGAAGGATAACTGACTATCATTACTTCCTTCAGGAGTTCCTGAGCTTTCAGAACATCGTCGGTCATCTTGATGATGTGCTGTTTAATTTCCTAGATACCAGATGTCGATCCTCACGTCAGTTGTGTGACTCGAAACTTGCGCTTGGCCCTGACCTTCTTGTGCATATACTCGCGGAGATCAATACTACTTTCATCACGAATTTCAATGCGACTAATGTGCAGTGAATCAACGATGCTCTGGATAGCTTCAGGTGTACTTCCGGGCGTTGCCGTTAATGCCAGCACGCGATGATAGGGATTCTTGGCCATTAAGAAACGAATGACCTGTGCATAGGCATAGTCTCCTGTTCCCTTATGCGCCTCGTCTGCACCCTTCCCTTAGTAAACCAAATGAACATGGATTAATTGCAGGTAACGGACCAATGACTATAAGGACGATATCCCGCGCATCGCAGTTTTCCGTAGTCAGATCATTGATGAGAGTCTGTGGTGTCATGTAAAATATCCGTTTCTTCTCCTCCACTACAAAAATCCGAGTCAGCTTAAACATCGATCACGTAAAACAAATACAGACCATCCTATACCTATGCTCGAGGGTTGTTTCCGGTGAGCTCAACTGCGTCACAACCAGGAATGCCACACGTGCGGTGGCACGCGTCGATTTGTTGCGCGACGAGAGGTTTTGTTGGGGCAACGAACACAACCTTTCCCTTCGGAAACCAGCGATAGACTGGGAAGAAATTAGATGTTGTTTGACAAGAAGAGCCGTGAGGGATTCACCGTTAAGCATTACGACGCCTGCAATAAAAGTTTTTCCCAGTCCGGTGGGTAATGCAACGAGGGTGTTGTCAAATAGGCAATGTCTAAACGATGTTGAACTGATAATCACGCTTTGGTTGATTTAGGGGATAAATCCAATGTTTAGCTTCGAGCATGTCGACCTTGAGTTTCATAGGAGGTGGCTGTAGGAACGTCAGTGAATAGGGTGCGTGCCGTGACAAAATACACACAGGTCTGGGGAAATAACGAAGTAATTTGTGCGGTGTAAGAATTGTACGACAATGTTCAAGGAACACGCTTACCCAACTAAAGACGCGTATCAGTACTATTCCATAAGTTGTAACGAACCAAAAGACCCTGGACATACCTGACACGAATGGAGCAGGGAACTGCTCAAACTCGACGTTCTCCTCGTCATCATCTCCATCATTCTTCCCTTGCCCTTGACGGTCTTTGGCTTTTCCAGCCTGACTTTGCAAACACAGTATGGTCCCACTGCCTCGTCTGAGGCGCCTGTTGGCCAAAAGGTTTGCGGGGACTCGACTTTGTCCGCTGGAGCGAGGAGCGTTTAGAGGGACTTTGCCTACTAGAAGATGCAGTCGGTTGAGCAACAGCTCCGAACAGGGTTCGTTGCACAGTATTCTTGGAGGAAGGAGGCCGCGCATGATTGCTTGGGCCTGCCACTGGTTGTGCATTTCCCTTAATACCGCATCAATGAACGTGTCTAAGCGCTGAAGCTCCGTGTCATCGATTTCAAGAGAAAGATCGAAAAACGAATCCTCTTCGTCCAGAGGTTTAGGTGCCTTGGGCGCAGGCGGGGGTGGCTTAGGAGGGTTTCGAAGTGGAGGACGATGAGCGGCCTCGATGATGTCCAGTTCGTTCAGAACAGCTGAGTCAAGTTCATCGTCAAATCCGTAATCGGACGAACTCATTACGAGGACGGGAGGAAGAGGAAGAAATGAAACGACCAGAACGCGAAACAGTTTATTCCAAGAGTTACGCGACGGTCACATGACCCAACGAATCAAACTCTCGTAAGTCGTACACATGCGGTAGAAACCTTGGTAACAACTTATAATAAGCACCTTTATAATGGCATTCGCAAACGCATTGTGGTAGAAAAATAAGTATTCTACGTACGGATGAACCGAAAAATACAGAGGACAGTCTGTGGTGATGATGACAAGTAAATATTCGTTCCTCGTTTTTGACGCATTCTCGTCACCCACTAGTAGTAGTGAGCATGTTGTTACAAATTTAAAGTGCAATCATCTTAGCGATGCCATGGGTAAGACTACACAGTTAACCAGTCTTAAAGTATGCACTCGCATAGATAAAACCCGGTACTACACTCAGCCTTCCCGACGAGAAGCATGCGCCACCTAGCCATCGACTAATGCTCCGATGACTGATGAATGAATGAACGAACGAACAAATGATCCGTTGAAAATCTGGCCAATCTCTTGACATGTCGAAAAGGGGATTTTTCTCCTGCAAGCTTGGCTACATTGATGTGCAAAGCCATTGCAGACCCCTTCGAGTGGACAAGAAAGTAAATAAGTGCAATATGCATGGAACCTAGAGTG